GTCCATGGGTAGCTCATAGACCCAATCCATCCACCCATTAGCTGTTACAATTTAGTATGCTTAAAACACAATAGTTTGTCAAGCCACATCTTAGTATGTTTATATGTGCAAATGTCCAAGGTAAAAACTGAATTTTTCTAGTAAGAGAGAACATGTATGACACAAGCAATCTCCAATCTCTCTTCATGTGTGATAGGGAAACTCAAGGCAAAGCACATGTCTGATTCTCTGATATTGTCCCAAGGTCATATGAGGAAGAATGTCTTCTGTGCAAAGCAAGCCAAAACAAAAAGAAAAATATGTGAATATATGTACATCTGCATTTTTGTGGCCTCATGAATTGTGCCACCATCATATTGTTTTGAGCAGCCTTCTCTGCATTGTGTTCACAATACTCGGCAGCCCATGAGTTGGCAGAGTGGTGCAATCGAAAAGTTGGATAGTCAGACAAAAAACGTTGTATTATTTTGAAGTTAGAGGCAAAGGAGCACCAAAGTCTCTTATAAATACAGATGAGGGGTTGGAGTCACCAATTGACTGCTATTTTCAAAAATGATGCCACCACTGATGCACCTGCTGACATCTACATAAAACATACATGCACAGTCAAACCCCAAAACACAACATTAAGCCCCCAAAGGACCTTGGCCTTAATATGCAATAGTACCTAAAAGTAGTTATGCCAGGTCACTTTTGACTATACACAACTCACGTCATATTTTTTACCAATATCATGGCTGTTGCAAAAAAATAATTTATGAAGTTATCATTTACTGTGCACATGCCAGTAACATTGCATGCTTTTTAAAATGCAGTTGTTGTTCTTCTTCATTACTTTTAGAAGTCCTTATCATTCAGGTAAAGCTGCTGAGAAATGAGATATTTACTCAACTTTTTTGTGAAGTAAGCATTGTAATGAGCTTTAATTTGGCGTTAGACATACTCTGTGGGAAACAGTCAGAGAACTGTGTGCTGCACCCATTCAAATGATTGTGTATTCTCTGACCTGAGGTCATTGATGTGTATAGGACTCATAATGGTGTGAATTTAATTTGCAAAACAGTAACTTTGTTATTCATGAAGAGGGATCGTTATCTGCTTTAATTTAAAATGCGCACATGTCAGTGAATCTACTTTCATGTCAGAGGAAGCGAGCAGGTGTGATAAGTGAAGGTAATGATCCTTTAGGAGCAATACAAAAAAGCTGCAACAGGAATCTCACATGTATGTCATTAATTTAATTGTACTTATTATGTATTATTATAAGGTTAAATTATGTTTGGTTTTTCTTGGTTTTTCTTATTGTCACATAGTTGTTTACATTGTGTAAGATGCTTGCTTTTGCGTCACTGGTTTCCACCCATTCATATAAATAATAAAGCACATTTCAATATTAGAGAGCAGCAGTGGCGGTTCTAGACCAATTTGATTGGGGGGCCCAGGCTGGGGCCAGTTATTTTCTGAGGGGGTCACAATAAATGCAGGACGAAAAAGACAAAGACAGTATGAAGTAATTGCGCATAAGAAAACAATGCAAGACAGTTATTGGTATTTGTTTCAGTACACATATTTATTTCAGATACTTATAGTTACAGTTTTTACGCTCTAATGCAGGGGTCTCCAACCTTTTTTAGGATGAGAGCTACTTTCAAAACATAAAACAAGTCGTGAGCTACTTTTACTCCTCTTTTTTTTGTTTTTTGCAGTGTATATATTTAGCACATTTTAACATTATTATATGCTAACCTTTAACCTTTGTGTGCTGTTTGGGTCTGTGGACCCGTTTTCAGTGTTTACTAAAATAACATGTATGCAATTTAATTATTTTAACCTGCTTTATTTGGGGGTGGACCTCACATCCTCTAGGAGGATCCGGGGGCATGCACCCCTGGGAAGATTGTTTTTTTAATGTTGAAGTGAAATGCATCAATCTGGTGCACTTTGAGCACAACATGAATTCATGGATACAGCTCTCAACACTCAGATGAAAAGGAGCTGTATACTTTTCAATAATCCAAACATCTTTAGAATATGATCACAACCAATAACAAATCATTTAAACTTGTTTATTCTTATCTTATGTTACCTAGTTAGCATTCTTTCTTTTTATTTATGCATATTTTACTAATCACTCCCCTTTTAAACCATTTTTTTTTGTACTGTCCTATAGTACACATTGGAATGATTTCTTACTTTATTTTTTACAACTATATTAAATAGATAAAGGTGTGCTCTCTCTAGCCCTCTCGCTCTGTCTAGCTCGCTCACAGAGGCTGTGTGCTCCTCCGTGGCGATGACGGCTTGCGTTTAAAAAAAAAAAAAAACATATTTGTAAAGTGGGGGAAACAGGATTTCGAAAAGTGTCCCCCCTGTCCCCAGTGGAAATTATGCCACGCGATCGACTTATGCCACGCGATCGACGTGTTGGAGACCCCTGCTCTAATGGGTCCGACTAGAATGACAAATATAGTTAGTTCCGCCTATTCCTTCAGCCAAGAAATCGTTTAACCTGTTTCACACCTTCCCCCCGGTACCGGGCGGATAAACGCGTCATTTGCAGGAAACAACGTCTAAGGAATCTTAATATTGAATAAAACTATGAATGTGTTATATCCATGTAACGGGAAGAAACTCAGCTAACTGATCTTTTTAATTTTTTTTTTCAAAAAAAACCCACAATGCTAGCACTCAGCCTCTGAATTAGCCTCGACGAAAAAACGTAACCTACAAAGGCACATAAACTCACTCAGAACTCCCTTATTACTTATCCTAGATGCACAACCAAACACTCTTTTTTGGTGTCCTGGAGACACTGAATCTAACGGTGCCCTCCTCAACACTCAGTGATAAACATTCGCGACGCTCTAAACGAAAGCGTACATCATCACATGTGGAGCTAAGAAGCTAAACAGTAAATATGGCTTACCTTGGTCTTCAATGGCATTAAAACGATAAAAAAACGATGCTGCAGTTAATCCATAGGTTCATCCTATGTGTCTGTGCCTTCTTTGAAATTATTTCTGATAATCCATAAGCAATACAACTGCGTTTTAGTTTCCAAACTCCAGAAGGAGACATTCCTCTACTTTGGTTTCGTTTTCCACACGCGAAGCAACCACATTTTTTCTTTACAACCTGTCTGGGTGGGAGCCTCCCCCTTCGATTCTATTGGCTCTAACGGTCACAAGGGTATGTCAACCAACCAAATCGAGCAAGGGGGGCCAGAGATAGGTCAAATCCACCCAAATGACCCCAGATGGCCCAGTTTTTGGCTAAATCTCTCTAAAAAGGTCAAATTTCACTTGTTTTGCATCAATCTTGATACAGGGTACTTATTATATGTTGTACTTTGGATTCCTAAAGCTTTTAGTCTACTAACCCATCATCCAAGGGTAGTTTTCACTATCTGTAAAAAATAATTTTTGGACGGACACTATAATTTACAGTTTTTTACTATGTCAAATCTGAATTTTCTTTAAAATAAAAAACATTTATATTGATTCTGACACTTCTACATCCAACTCACAGGTTTATCATTACTTTGAGAACAAAGATTATTAATTTAACCCTTTTAGAAGGGAAGATATGGTCATTTGTTCTGGGAATGTCATTTTCGAGCCTGAGACCTGAAAAACAGGCTCAGAGTGGGACAGGTTAATCATAAACTATTTTTTTCAGGGGGGTCCAAACAGTGTTAGGACCCCCCCCCCCCCCCCCTAGAACCGCCCCTGGAGAGCAGATCTGGGAGCTGTAGCTGGCCTGCCATGCTGTTAGGAGACTAGAGTGTTTTGTTATTGTGCAGGTTAGTGACGTGTGACATACTCCACCTCCCATCAATCTACTCACCCCCTCTGCTTCTCTCTCTCTCGGTCTCCCACCTTTCACTTTGTTGCTCTCTCTGCCAGCTCAGTGGTATCGAGTCACACAGAAATATCGCCTAATAGACAGGAAATTGAGAGATTGGGCTTTTTCAAAATAAAAGACTCCCTTACCAGATGACATTTAACCAACTAATACCTTGACAACATGGCAGGTCGGCTGTATCTTCTGCTGCTGTGGGGAAAGAAGAATAAGAAGAATACGACGTAGAAGTCGACAGTAAACAATTAGGATTTGAAAGACTGTTTGCAGCCTTAAAACCATAGCTTAAAACCTTTATATATACAGTCTATGCTTAAAACCAGCCACAGAAGCTGAAAAGGATCCAAACAAACCCGACAAAAATGTAAAAGTTTCTTTCTTATAATTATTTTCTATTCAGAAAACTTGTTTTAGTTTCTTCAAAGAGAGGAAGGAGGAAACCTAATGGAAGGGGGCAATACATTGACTATAAGTTCAACATGAACGATACAAAATTAATATATGTGTGTTAAATACTCACTATTAGGGAGTTATATATCCGGTGTACATTCTAAATGATGTGTTACTTGAAAATTATAATTTATATAAAACGATAAACTATGACTTTGCTGTTTTTTTTGGGAAGTTGTTAAAAACTACAAAATGAAATAATTACAATTCATTAAATCAATTTATCTGAAATAATTTAATCAAATTGAAGTATTGACCAGGCTTTTATTTTAGGGGAAACTACTGGGTCAAATACATTCTGTAATTTGTGGGACATGGGATAAATAACATTTTAAAATAAGATCCCAAATTGGATATTAAAAAGTTAAATTAAAGTGACTAATTAATTATTAGATAATTATTAGAGCAGCATTATGTGTGTCATTTAACAATATTTATTGACAATATTTAACTATACACCCGACGACGACCCACTTGAGAAGTTTGAACTTTTTATGTTTCTGTAAAAAGCTAATATTCAAATAGCACTATTTTATTTTGAAGGTTGTGATCGGAAGCCCTGTCTGAGATCCTGTCTGGTTTGACACCCGCTGCTCAGTGTGTGTGTGTTTTGTGTTGTGAGTGTTCCTGCTGCTGCTGCTGCTCGGTGTCCGCACACCGTCCGTCTCTCCAGTGTTGATCGGCTCGCCATGGCGGAAGGACGCAGAGAACAGCCGCCCCATCCTCTCCTCTCCTTACCACCGGCCAGCAAGCGACCCTGCCTGCGCCCTGCTCCCCGAGGTCCCGGTCCGGGGCCCGGGCACGGCAGCGGGTGGCCCAGCTCCCGGCTTCGTTCCCCGGAGTCTCTTCTGGACTGCGCGGCGAAGGCAGTAGCGGAAAAGTGGGCCTTCGAGAGAGTAGAGGAGCGCTTCGAGCGGATCCCGGAGCCCGTCCAGCGCCGCATCGTCTACTGGTCTTTTCCCCGCAACGAAAAGGAGATATGCATGTACTCTTCGTTTCAGTGCCGAGTAGCCGGCGAGGAGGGTCCGTCGGCGGCTACCGGCGGGGCTGGGGGTGCAGGGTCCGGAGCTACAACCGCCGGCGGTGGCGGAGGATCTACCGGTACGACGGCTACCGTGGGGACAGCCGGAGCTGTGGGAACGGGAGACGGGCTGCCTTTCCGCCGGGGTATCAGGCTACTAGAGACCGGCTGTGTGGAAAACGTTTTACAAGTCGGTAAGTGGGAAATATCACTATAACCGAGGCAAAGCTTTTTTGGCTCAAACATTGTGGACCGTTTCCAAGTATCTGCTGCTGGATCTTTACTGGGGATGATTGATGGAAGTTTGCCCTGGTGGGAAGTATGCAAAGCGTCTATTTCCTCGCATATATAGCCAACCATGGGTCTATGTGTTGGTTTATAGTTTAGAAGGCATACCAGGTAACATTTATTGTCAAATGTTGAGCTTTTATCGTCTTTTCCATGAAAGGGGAAGCGATGATACGGTCGCTGCTAGCTTAGCCGACCAGCTGCTGTTAAAAATTAAAGGGCTTCCTATCGTGGCTTCTCATTACTGTGGCGCTGCGTCTTTGCCCAGTTTTGCTTTCACGTTGAAACCTTGATTTTGCTGTGTGTTAGGGGTTTCAAACAAATTCAGCCATGTTTCGGGAATTATATGCAGACTTTTCTCCGTCTCTGGGGCTCCTCGTCGACGGTCGGGGCTGACTGGAGCCGTCCGTAACCCCGGACAGGGGGAGTCGCGGAGGAGGAGGGCTGACAGACGCGGATACAAAAGCGTTTTAGCGTCGGGGCTTTATTTTTGTTCGCGCGAACTCCTCTTTGCAAAAGTCGTTTTTTTCTCAACCCGCCTTCGGTTGAGGGTGGCTTAGGCAAGGAACAAAGGCTGTTATTGGGTCTCTTATTATGATTAATCCAACGTTAATCCGAAAGAATCCCCCCACAGCTTTTTTTTGTTTATTTGCCGCTGCTGTTCGGACCGGACAAAGAGCACATTCGCCACCAACGTGGAAAATACATGCTGGGAGTGTTTGTTTTGTTTTTAATATTAAAGTTAACCCCTAAGTAACGTGTGCAACGTCAAGCTGCCTTTTATTAGTGCGTTTGCCCACAGCCTCTCAGTCGCTTGCTACACAAAAGGCTTCCAGTTGAAATGATCGATAAGCGTCTCGCATTTCCTGCGCTGCAGAGAGGCTGTTTCCAAACAAAGGGCCATTCCGCAAAGCTCCATCTCCACTCACACTCTCATTAGCTTCATACCCCCGGCTCTACACAGCCACAAAACGAGCTCAGACAACAGGGAAATTGATGAGATGTAACCTATAGATTGTAAAAAGACAAACAGCCTTTTATGGATACCAGGAGGATTTTTCTTTGGCCATATGGTGTGAGAGCCACTGGAGCCTGTCTGGGGTTTCATGTTGCTCCAAGGTATCTGGGGAGAGAGCTGCAAACTGTGGCTGCTGCTTTTCTCTCTCACTGCTGTATCTAATTGCATCTTATAAATGCTCATCGATTGCACCCCATAATTAAATGAAATGGAAGAACTGTGAATATGAAAGTCAGATTTGCTCTCAGTTAGATTAGTTGATAAGTTTTGAGAGTCTGAGAGAGTGTGAGTTGACATATTAGTTATTGGAGCCAGATTTTATCTGGCTTTAGTTCTGTTGATTGCTTGTATGCCTGGATTGTTTGTTAACCATAACTTTGTTGAAGGTTGCTCAAGCAAGTTTGAAGTGATGACCTACTTTTAAAACTTCCTGTCACTACTAACACACCAACCTGGTATTTGCACATATGTGAAGCAGAACTAAAGGATTAATAAGGGTGTGCTCGTGTAAAGAATTTCATTTAAAAAATAAAATAACATTTATAGCAAATAATGGCAAAATGTCACTTTTAAAAACAATTTTAAACTTTGAAATGTTTTAGGTTTAAATGCAAACTTTCAAAACAAGTTGTGCACCCTTAAGCAAACACTCCCACTCTTACCTGCCTCACGGCAAATCGCGACAATCTCCCTCAAGGTCAGTCATAACAGGCAGGCACATGGTTTTGTCTTTCTGTCAACAAAACATAGAACAGGTTAAATAGCTGTGAGACATCAAGATAAGATTTGGCTTGTTCTTCACTCTGCACACCATGGGAACCAGTCACTGGTGGAAGGTTTACTGACTGACTTAACAAGCAGAACAATTGTTTTGTTCACAGCTGGATTTAGAGAGGTTGGGCAACCGAGCATGCTCACCTCACACACAATGCACTCATTAAGTGTCGTGTTACACACCTGTAATAGACAGTCTTAAGATGGCTTTTCCCTGACATGGCATAATATAATCGCCACTTAAAATAGTGGCTGTACTTGTTTTTTGAAAAGTGAGATGGACGTGCCTCATGTACTCTGTAATAGGAACTTGCTGGGGAGTGATTAGGAATGAGACAAGGCAGCGTGCTGACACATGAATGTGGATGGTGCATGGTTTAAAATAGGGCATCTCCGGAAACTGTAGTCTGGAAAAAGGGTATTGAACTTTTCAGCCACATGATATGCATGTTAACTGGATAGATTCAGCCGCAAGCTACATTCGTGGGAATATGTCAATTCAATTTTGAATTCACGATTCAAAATCAACTCTCGTTTAAAAACAATTTTAGATCCAGTATAGGGTGGATCATTCTAAGATCACAAAGTGTGTATAGGATTATGAAGGATGTATAGCTATTTGAAAAAGTGATAACAGCGGTTTGCTATTTATTTAAACACTCAAAGACAAACTAAAGGCTGAAAAGCTTAAATGTATTTATGTTAAAGTTCACAAATGAACACTTTTTACCCAAAAGTTGCTTTCAAGGACATCAACTATAACAACTTAAAGTTATACATAAAGAAATAGCTGCCGGTTACATAAATAAAATGATATCAGTCCCAAGATGAGGTGGGTGATGCAGCTCTCTCGTCTGTGTTTGTGACTTAAGGGGAGCTAAAACTGCTGTTTACCACTCGCTTCCGAAATATTTAAGGACATCCACCAAGCACACATACAGAAACACTGAAAACATTGAAGCAATGAGCCCACAAGCTACGCTATCATTAGATATAGTTTATTATTCCTCATAGCTATCACTAGCAGAGCAGGAGATCTTATTTCTATGAATTCATCGTCGTCTTTTGCTTTTGTCCCCGTTGCTTCAAATTGGTGTGCCTTAGAGCCTAGTCTGGAATTGCGCTTGTTTTTTCAGGTAATTACTAATGAGATCTGGTGTTAGAGACGGGGGAGGGGGTCTGTGATCTGCCTTTCTACTGTGCAGGACTTCAAGGTCCGGGTCACAGAAAGTTTAAGACCAGACTAGGAGCGTGTGAGAGGAGCAGCACTATTGGCCCAATACAAGTATAAGCCAAACTAAATCTAATTTAAATAATAAGACCAGAGATGCTTGTTTTCTGCTGGCTTGAAAGTCTTTCAAGAAAGAAAAAAACTCCTTGAAAAAGCAGATTATAATGAAATGGTTTTGGGTTATTTCTATAGGAATTGCTGATGTTTACCATAGAAGACATCTGTGTACGCATCAACGATTAAATAATGAGTACTGGTACGTCCCGTAGATGCCCTTCACCCCCGTACATTAGAGGCCTTTGTCTGTCAGCCTCTTTTAACCATAATACTGACGGATTGAAGAGACGTGAGCTCATCAGCAACTCATCGGCCCATGTGTTCATAATAATCTACTCCTCGCTCCAAGTCATAATTAGAATAATCAAAGCTAAGCGTGCTTGTATTTGTAAACCCCCCCTTATTCGCGGCACATACACACGCATGTGCGCCCAGGAGCCCCCTTGCCAGAGCCTTATAAAGTCCTCAGAGAGCGGGAGGAAGGGATATTAGAGGAGGGGGGGGGGGTTCTTAAGCTTTGAGTCAAGATTTGGGATTATTGGGTCATGCTTTGTTACCCAGCTGTAGAAAAACCCCTTGTTCACAGAAAGGGGGGGCTAGGGAAGGGGGTCTGTCTGTGTATGTGTGTGTGCACGTCCCTGTCTACGCAACGTTACATAAAGCTGTAATGGGTCCCTGACGCCTTTTGAAGCACCGGTGACTCTGACAAAGCGAGGCAGCAAAATTGAACAGGATTAAACTGTATGGGAGAGTCAGTCAGTGGGCTGGAAACACTGGGGGGCTTCTTAACTCCAAATATTTTAGGTCCTGAAATGTCTAAAAGCTCCTAAAAATGGTGGAACTTACAAAATATGTGGTCAGTTTCACATCTGTAATTAACTTAATCCTTGGCTATGCAGTATTGGATAACATTCACAAAAGATTTGCCAACTTTAGATTGGATTGAATCAAAGCTCCTGCACATCTGTAGCTAGCATTCCATCAAATAGGCTTTCTTTGAATGCAATGAAGGGTTTTGCCAAAACAACATATTGCTCAATCAGGACCAGGAAAGAGTCATTTGCACAGATTGCACTAGTATCCATCTTTTAAGCAACTGCCTGTAATATGAAGTGTCAGTTCATCTTCAGTTCGTAATTGAAAAATAGATAAACATGTATAAAAGTGGCAAATGATTTCCCCAGTGAAGGAATTTGAAAGAGCCCAACCAAACCATTTGATTTAATGTTTACTAGGATCCTGTTCACATTTCCTTACAGGGAAAATACAAGTATATTGCATTGTATTTGCAACTATCGGTCATTTCCTTATCAATCATTGTGTTGATTAAGCTTTTGATTATTCACCTAGAATTAAGTTTTTGCAATTATGTAAAACTGAGAAAAGCAACACATTCAAAAAGCTAAAAACAGTGAATGTTTGGCAATGATGATACATAAATGAAATTATTAATTAAGTAGCAGAATTGTGGGCAATATTTAATTTTAGCAGTACATATACTACAGGCACCATTCTGGCACATCTTGGGGAATGCATAAGTACGTTTTTCTGATTAACCCAACAAGTGTGTAAAAGAGCAACTGTTGATTGTATTGAATCACTTCTCCTTCCTTGAGTTTCTGCTTGTTATCAGTGTATTAAGTCAGTGTCAGTTCATGTATGGTTTTCAGTTTTCAGTGTGTGGAGGGAGGTGTTGGTGGTTGTTCTTGCCAGTAATTCCTCAGATGTAATTTACTGGCAGAATGGCCGCGGGGTTCCTTGTTGTGGAAAAGCTTTCGAGCCTCTGGTGTAAATCTGCTCTTTGGTTGCTCAAGAGTGTTGCGATT